ACAACGACCCATCGAGCATTGATTGTGGGAACAGTCGTTCGCTTGAGGTCCTTCCCCACCACAAACTTCTGTGGGTTGGTGGTAAGACAAAAAGCAGTTACCGTTATGGTGTATAACACGACTATTAGATCAAGGTCTAAGCGCAAATTGGTACTTCTGGCTGAAAGGGAGTATGATAACTAGAGTGTTTCCTGTAGTAGCAGTGGCATATTGATGCTGTCCTCATTATCGGAAGGGTGTTGTTAAAAAGACCGACCCAACAATGACACACTCCCTCGTGCCGTAGCACCTTCCGGTGCTGATATGGGTATAGGTTTCTCATTGGATTCGAAGATGCCTAAATCTGAAGTATCCGAAGAGGCTGTGTGTGACCAACCTCCAACAGGTTTCCCGTGGGCTTTGTGTTTGTGCACCACTGTTACTAACTCAACTTCTTTGTCTGGTAATTTTTCACGGTGATTGTATTCGTGAACTACTAACTGTCCCCACAATGTTCTCAGCTCTCAAGTCTCAGATCATTATCAACATTTCACATCTTTGCCTCTTAATCTTTCTTCAAATCTCGTGGTCAATATTCCTACATCATCTTAAATTTCTTCCAGATCTGCAGCTCTTGATAACCGTTCGATTTCATGAAACCGCCTCCCTGGTTTCTTGAAACTGTGCTCCAAACTGCTTATTGGACTTCTCAGTGTCTACACCCTCTTCATTTCGACTTATAAGCTTCTCTGACATCTTAGACTATTGGCGTGTGCTGTTTATGACTGGCATACAGAACCCAAGTGGGGTTATTCATGCAACCCCAGCTGGCCAAAATGCTGAATTTGTACAATTAACCCTTCAAGTTTCTGGAAATTCAGTGGCTAGTTCTCGTGGTCTTTAAGGCATAGCGATAGCAGTAAGTGCTGAGGAAGAAAGTGCACTGATTGACTGAACGGTGCAGTGAGAGGACTAAAGAGTAGTGAAACTGGGGATTGTCTCCTTGTAATGCTTGCTTATCCACCTACTGACTGCAGTTCGAATGAAATGAAAGATGAGTTCTGTCGAAAATTGTCTAACCTACTACTGAAACTCAGTCGTTGAGATGTAGTTGCTGTAGCAGGTGATCTCAATGTTCAAGGCGGTAGTCTAAGTTAGGCACTTTCGGAATCCCAGTCGAGCTAACGGATAACGGTGATCACCTCATACAACTGTACTTAGAGGGCCACCTATTTAAGACGAGCACAAACTTCGAACATATTGTTATCAGTTATCATTGAAGAGGGTTAGCCGAAGACTGTTAGTCCTTCTGGAGGATATGTTTGAACAGCTATCACTCGTTGGCGTGAGCACGCGTATATCTGCGCCTTAGTAGATTTGGAAGACTATAACTACAAAACCATGTCGAGCGCAGATTGACAATGAGAATACTAAGGCCGTTTTCTGTGATGAACTAGTTAGACAGTTATCGTAACAGGATAACACTATTCATCCGGAAGAAACATGGCTCCATCTCCGGTCTGATATGAAAAGAATGCTAAAGACTGAAACTGACTCTGAGAAAGAGGTCAAAAGGGTTCAGTAGATCTCAACAGCCTTAGAATATATGGATGCACGTGGACACATTCCTGCAGCCTCCCATCATAGTGAGGAGCAGAAGCAACTCAAATGTAGATCGACAAGTAATGTACGCATTGAAAACAAGCAGTGGATAGCTCAGACTAAGGAGATGGAAAACGCTATTCAGAAGTATCAAGGGAGGTTAGTTAGAAAATGTCAATGGCTACTGAATCGAAAGCGGAGAAGGATGGGTCTGAAATTCACTGACAGGAGAGCAAATTGAACAATGGGTGGGGCACTTTGAGGAACATCTATGATTCCATTTCCCGCTATCCATTTAGGTCCTAAAAGGAACATTGAGATATGGTCTCCAACTCTTATAGAAGTTGAGAGGGCTGTAAGTAACCTGGAACAAAAATGGACAACAAGCCCAGTAGGCAAGTATTGAAGGTATTTGAAGACCATGGTCATGGATTATATTGTTTAGGTTAACTGAAATGTTAGCTAGCGTATGGGAATCAGATATGATTTCAATTGACTAGTTTCAATCACTCAGTTGCCCAAGTCTTCGAGAAAAGTAAAATCCTCTTGTAAGAACCGCAGGGGAATCATTCTAATGAACACAATGTCTAAGATCCTAGGTTTTATATTTATTACACGTCCAAGAAAGGTAGGTAAGTTCCAAACCTGGTTGTGGAAGTATCAACCAGATATTCACCCTCTTCAAGGTTTTTGAACACAGATACACGTTTCCGAGCCTTGGTGAGTTACCAATTAAATTGTGTACACCAAGGATGTCCGCTCTGTGATTGTAGAAAAGATACGTAGCTCATTATTAGGACAATTGTTTAATGCTCTCCGAGTTTTGACGTTAGTTCTTACACGTTTCATCATCAGGCTAAGCGACTTCATCAACTCCACTCCATTCTTACCTGATTTTGTCATAGGCTTATTTATCCAAGTTTCTATTGTCGTCTGACGTTACGAAGACCGACCTCATCTCAGGGAACCTCTTAATATGTGGGAGTCCTGTTAGGTGAGAATGCTGACAAGATGTAGTCTTGGGAACACCTTAAGTGGGGCTTTGAGACTATTTGGGGTAAATTTTTCCCCATTCAAATGCGGATCGTTGTTCCAAGACTGGCGCCTTGTCTAACAGTAGAGAGTGGAACGTTTGAGCGTGTTAACCACTTCACTTACTCGGAAAGTTAGACTATCCCTGATTGGTCGATGACTGTCTTGACTTCCGTGTAGGTACGAAAGACTTGCTTGGCTTCTGCCATTAATAGCTACTCCGTGTTATCCGTTTACTTATTAAGGGTTGCTTATACTTCTCTACAATCCTCCTTATTTTATAATTGTGAAACAAGTTGAATAACATGAGAAGGCTTCAGGTATCCCACCACCGTCGCCTTCGCAACATAAGCTGTCTCACGGAACCACAACGTCAGTAACCCAGAAGTCAGGTGTAGAGTTTTGAGAAGAAAGTCAGTTAATGTTGTAAACCTTTATCGACTCAAATGACCGGCGCATGTGTTATGCATCGTTAGTCACTGTCTAACTCGTCACTTGATGTTAGCCGAATTCGGTTATAGATAGGAAAAGGTGACCAGACTAAAACATAGCATCAGTTCATAATATCTTGAACTATTGACCTAAGCCGTGTGTGTGTGTGTGTGTGTGTGTGGAGGGGCGAATGTAGTTTTCTTGGGTGGGGTCCGGGTATTCATGTAAACGGGTTTTTGGGAAATCTAGGTGGTATGGCACAGAAATTTTCGCTACTACAATTAGTTCGCGAGATCTATCATCCCGATATCTAGGTGTTCCTTAATGAGTTCCATCTTGTTCTTAGAAGCTTGATGTGAAACTGGGATACCGCACAGTTTAGCACGCTGATTGCTTCAGTCACTCGGGGGAATCGCTCAATTTTTTCTTAGATTAGTGACTAGTGAAATCTCAGCACTGATATAAAAGGTTTTTCTGACTGCTGTCCAATGTTTCCAGTGTTCCTCCAACTGATATCAGTCATGAAGAATTCCAACCTGAAATCAATTAATAAATCTCCACAAACCTCCTGATAGCAAGATCTAAGTTAACCGAAAATGGTAAAGTTATGAAGACTACTCAATAGTTATTTATTTATGCAGTAATGGAATGATTATATCTAGAGGAAGGAAGAACGTTGTACACATGTTATTTTGGAATTGGTAAATGTGACATCGTGGTTAAGTAAGCGTAATAAAAGGTCAATAGGTTTTGATTCTGTTGAGTTATAAGATGAATACAACTCAGAAAGTGAGAATAGGTTTTGAAATATATCGAGAAATAAAGTGAAAAAAGAAAGTCACGAGGTATGAGATTTTACATTTACAAACTTAAGAGATTAAAATTACCACAGTAATCCAAGATTGTCAACAGTATCTTTCTGAATACGTAGATCAGGTTTGAGTCTTTTAATTGCAACTGCTTCAGTAAATTAATATAAGAGTGAAACTTGGGCACTGTGGTCGATTGTAATTCCATTTTAGTCTGTTTATTAGAAATATCACACAGTGAAACAGTACCATTTACTGGATAACGTTTTGGACACAATTCATTGTTCATATTCAATCAGGTAACTCCACAACTCCGAGACAGACTTTCTATATTCCTAATTTTCTCTCCTTCTCCGTGATGACAACGGTCGTAGAATTTTCTACATATCTGGGACAGGTGCAGAATCATTTCAGTTGCATGTATTTGTTGTTGATTCGATAAACAAAGATCCGGTTATCAGTCTCTCCCTCCACCCAACTAAGTTTTCAACACTGTTACCCTATCCCACCCTACTGTGTGTTTGTGTGTCATCGCATGCAGAGGTGTAGCTGAGCTTTTCTCTAGACTTCTTATCTTATTAGGATCTACTAATCTTGGTTTAGCTAAGATTTTGTACTCTGTTATTCTAATCGACCCTGGTCGACTGCTTTGACCTATGTATTTGACATCGCTTCAGTAAATTGCAAAATGATGAGTTCCAGTTGTTTATTCATCTTGTTAAACGACTTTATTGCATGGACTTTATGTTCATTATGAGGTAAGTGGTGAGGAATCGCCCTATTTAAACCCTTAAGACTCAAATTCTTCGGAATATTTGTTCGAAAGTGTGGACAAGAACTCTTCTCTGTGTTCTCCCAATGTATTTACTTTGGGACGTAAAACATGTGAATTCGTAGATGTAGTTACAAGTGACAATAGTTGGGAACTTTAGATTGTCTAAATGAGTATCTTCTGTATATTTAATAATAGTTTGGGATTTTACGTGTAGTCAGTTGTTGGTACCTTAATTTCTATTTGACATGGATTTTTTTTGATAATATATTCCCTGCGTAAACATTTTCAACTTCATGCATGAAATCAAAATCACATCAAGTGTGTTACGTAACTTCTCATAGTGTTTCCAATTTTCTTTCTTGAACTTTCAGAAGATTTGCATGTTGAAATTCAGTGTTTACAGAAGTGTTCTTAACACATTAAGCCGTGGATATGCAAAGAAGGTGAAACCAAGTTAGTATAAAACTTGACAATTTCATTTGTTTAGCCAAAGGGATTGCTGCTGTTGCTAAAGTGCGTGAAATTAAAGTGGAGACAGACCCGGATAAAATTGTTAACTGTTGTTGTATTAATTACAGAATAGGTGAACAACCTATTCCACTGAAATCCGATAGGTATGAAGCTGTTTTCATTACACAATCCTAGTGAATATCCAGAATGGCTTTGGAAGCTAAGGACAGACAGACATCCTCCACCTCTTGAAGAATTGGACAAGAACTCCTACAAATATTGGAGACGAGTTAGAAAAATGAGTCGCAATCTGATAAACCATTTGGCATCCGTCGACGGGTGGCACAGAAAAGATCATCGGTCATTTGAAAACCATTCCTTGCGATTTTACGGTGACTTGTATTTAACTGTTTGTGATTGGGCTAATTCAAAGAAACTACTTGAAAATAAAAGTGACTAAACTCTACTTGTTCGTTGTTTGTTTTTTTACTCATTTAGTGGGTGCTTGAATTGTGATACGAGATATCAAAGTAATTACCTCCTCAAAATCCTGGTGCACCTAAGAGTGAGAAGACTCGCTTCGTCTTTTTGGAATGTCCGTACTGTTAGGGATGCGTATATCCCTAATCTTTATATGTTGGACAGAATGATTTCTAGCTTGTATCTATTAAACAAACAAATTCCAGTGTACTGTAGCTCGCACCTTATTTTATTATCTAAGCATGTTGCCTTTTAATCCACAGTATTTAACGGTAAGCCGGTATGAGTTTGCTGATATGCAGGACTAAACCGATCACTTTCTGTTGGGATATGATATCCGCATCAGAATTCCGCAATATTGCCTGCATCACTTATAGGCTGTTTGAGAATACTCTTCCTGTGATTGCAAACTCCTAATTGACCACTGAATGCTCTGGTTGCAATGGTGTGATTTACCTTTACCTTTACCTTTAAAACACAAACATCCACTGATGAATTAAACGTTCTTGCCAACTATTCACATTTTCATTGCATTAGTTAAATGTAGTCTTGGCATTTTGGATATCGTATGCGTGTAAAATCATGTTCTCATGCATACCTAAATTAGATTGTGCAGTAAATGTATTGAAACGCCTGAACTTAGACATTCACCTGGATTAAATGATTGTATGGATACTTACTTACTCCTGAAATCACTGAAGTTATTATTGGTCAGTAAATCTACGAACATAAGAATTGCTGCTAAAATAGACGTTTATCTGACGAAACACTTGGTCTTGTAGATAGGTCAATCATGTCGACTACTCACAACGCAAACACCAAATACTGCGACGTTTGATATGAAGAAAGAATTGTGAGCAGAAATGACCTAAACTCAGAACGATGTGTATGTACTGTAGTGATATTTTCCTTCTATTTTCATAACGTTTAGACACTTGGTATCATGATAGAGTTTAATGTCCTCCCTCTGTATCATTCAATACTGTTGAAACCTTTTATGTTTCTCTGCAATTATCAATTTGATGAGGCCTGTAAACTGGCTTCTCTCATGTTAACTTCATAACTTGAGAATAAAGATATTTATTTTTGAACCTTTCTTTATTCATTTTCCATCTGTTTTAAATTTGCATCATTAAGGCAGTTGATTTATATTTGGGACAATTATATTGATAATCAGAAAGAATAAGCAACAAGGAACTCTGGGAACGAACCAACCAACAACCTATCACCCAACAAATATGCAGAAGAAAGTGGAGATGGATTGGGCATACACTGAAAAGGCCGACTGGGAACATCACGCACCAGGTCAGGCCCTCGGGTAGAATCCAAAGGGGAAACGACAAGTTGGGCGTCCGAGGCGAGGGTGACATGGAAGAGATCATGTGAGGAAGAAATGAAAACTTGTGGGCAGTCATGGTGCCAGGTTAAAAAGACTGCAGAGAAGAGAGTGAAATGACGAGTTGCTACTGAAGCTCTGTGTCCCACTAGGAACCCAAGGGAAAAATAATAATATAGTAATGTTGATAATGGTTGATGATTGAAGGTGAAATAAAAACCTCGGTTGTTGTTGAATTCTAAACAGCATCCTTCGAGGTATGTACCCAACACACCAACTGAGCCACGTGATGAAGCTACTGATCTCATCTCAACTTTAGTCCAATCAATGAAGGAAGGTCTAGCCCTACTTCCATACGAACCCGTGATACATTACTGTCCATTCATCGCAACACACTGATTGCCTGTTCAGTTCTTCCAATCCGAATCGAGCTGAATTACGGAGGTGTATCGTATTGGTTAATTATCTGAGATACCGGTGGATAGTGAGACTCTTATAACTATCATTATTAATGTGAGATGTAAGGGAGTTACGGAGAACAGAAACACTGATCAAATTTAGTCAGGAGTCAAGTTGTCTTAGATGTTTCTACTGATTTCTGAGAAAGTGTATGTGTAGGCAAACTTGCTGTGTATTGGAATCAGTTGCAGAAAGTGTGAGAAAATGTCGTGGGTTCAAGGGGTAGTAAACTACTTAGTGTAAGGGTCGACTAAAATACCAGTGTCCGGTATCTCAGTTCTTGAATATACAATATTAGAAAGAAATCTAACTTTTTTGAAAAGTGTAAATATTAGCAACAATCTTGAAAGAAACTGTCAATTTCAACTCTACTTTTACTTTTTTCACATCAAAGAAAGCAGTGTAGAGGGAAATAAAACATGGCGTTCTCCAGCTTGTAAACTTATTCATCTATCTGCTTTTCTAAACAATAAGTAGTATATTATATGCCAAAGTTTGTGATGCAGAACTTATGTGATCTCATATACACATCTCTTCTTAATATATGTGCAGATAAGGCTTGATTTCAGGAGCACCAGAACAATTTCATTACCACATTTCGTACATAAATGTCGGTACTGAACATGAGTGTACCGCTATTTCAGATCTCGGCCAGTTGACTGCGATCAAGTATTGTTTGGATTTATTACAATTTATAGACGCAAACCGGTAAATTACAAAGAATTATGGTCGATTCGGAGAATGAAGAAGATATCTGTTATAGGAGAAATAAGCTGGTTAAGTAAAGTGTACGAGTCAGAATGCTAGTTATAATATAATAGATCGATGTCTCAACTAATGTTTCATCATCTATTCTACTTGTCTCTTAGTATCGTTTCATGCTTATACGATTCACGTGGTTGCTTTGTTTTGCTTGGTTCTTCACTTGCTCAAAGCCTTAAAATATCTCTCATAATCAGGTTAGGTAATATTCAGTCGAAGTTGTTCCCTTAGCTGGGACAAACGTTTCATTGTCGTGCGAGACGTCGTCATCAGCACATCACAACTTTGTGAGGAGGTGAAGTGATTACATGTACATGCAGATATATAACATGCTGCTCTGCTTGACCCAACCTGACTGGTGAGTTGGTGAGCGTATGTTGAACTTGTTTAATTGACGTTTTTCTTTAAGTTTCTAAGAGGGATGTCCAACTCTATTACTTGTTGATTTCATGTTTTCGTGCAGTACGTTCAGGCCGCTTCGTTGTGACGGGTCTGTTCTGTCTGAATAGACTGATGAAAGCGTCTTGGATCTGACTGGTTGACACTTCGTTTGGGTCGAGTGGGAAGACTGTCTTGATCTAACTGACTGGGTGACTCTTCTGGGTCACCCGATGGTATTGCTTTAAGTTGTTCAGTCACATATTACAAATTTTCATTCACAGTCACCCACTCCACTTCCTTCTGAAGCTTTGATGTACTGACGATGATGCATACCATGACACTGGGACATTTTCCAGCTAAAATCCTAGCTGATGAAGTAACTCGAAATCAGTATCCTCAAACGTAAGCTACAAGTATTCTCTATTAAGTTAGTTCAAATTTTATTTTTATTTAGTTGTACAGGTAAGGAAGTGAAAATACACCGATGTAAAAGATTTCCATTAGTGTGTGATATTTTTCACTGACATACTTTCCGTATATCGAATTCGAAAACCGTTCAACTTATCGAGATTTGGGCATCCAAGTAATATCACTAACATTTGACCACTAGGTGTGATTCATTGCTTACGGCATAAATGTACACAAGCTTGTTGAGTTTGTAGTGCACCTTCCTGGCACCAAAATATAACTAGGGCTAAAATAAATAGTTTAAATTAAATTAACTAAATAAATCTCTAGCTTGCCTCCGGATGCTTAGGGTGTTTTAAGTTTTGTTTTAACGAGCATGCATCCGAGCAGGCTTGGACGCCATTTTTGCGCTCCATTGTGCTGATCACCACGCACGTACTCCGAGTCCCTAGTTCAGCCTTACAAGCCAGATAAGTTGATTAAACTTTTCCCTCATTCATTATTATTACATTTACCTTAAATACATAGCTCCTTTAAATACATTGCGTATCAGTTCTTTTGATTTGTGTTTTGTTACCAGTACTTACACGTTAGGTAAAGTACTGGTTAAGCAGGTACTAGAGCACATCAAATTAAGTAGGGTTGATCAAACGTTACGGAATTGTAACACGCATCCCTACAAAAATTGGTGAGCCCGAGTATCACTTCTTATTTTGTCTAGTACCTTTGTTCTCTTGCGTTGATTTGTCTGGCCTAATTTTGTTTTTGGCACGTCTAGCGTTTTTTTTTATATTATTGCACTCCTCATTGGTTATTTTTGCATTGTAATTTTTTTATTATCACTATCGTGCCTCGTTAATTCCCTGATCAATGGCGGATAACGACTCGACTGCGCAGATGGCCGTAACCCTCCAGCTTCCCACCTTCTGGGCCCACAGACCATCTGCATGGTTCTCCCATGTGGAAGCTCAGTTTGCCTTGAGACACATTCAATCACAAGAAACTAAGTCCAACTTAGTCATCGTCAGCTTACCGGAAAATGTGATTGAAGACGTCTCAGATGTGCTAGATGACCCAGCACCGAATCTTTACGATCGCCTCAAAACCGCCCTCATCAAACGTGTTGCACTTACTGACCAGCAGAAAGTGCAAGAACTTTTCAGGGATGTGCATCTGGGTGATCGCAAGCCGACGCAACTGCTTCGTCAGATGAAGCAGCTGATTGCTGACTTCAACATTGATGAAGCATTTCTCAAGCAACTGTGGTTACAGAGGTTACCACAGTCGGTTCAAGGGATCCTCGCACCCTTCCATAAGTGTCCCTTAATAGAGTTGGCGGAAGCGGCTGACAGAGCTGTGGATGCTACGAAACCCAACACTAGTATCTCAGCTGCACTGTCTACTGCCACGGATTCGTTCCAAACACATCCTCCCTCGGCTGTTGAGCCAACAAGTTTCGATGTTATAACTCACATCTCAAAATTGTATGAAGAGTTGTGCAGCATCAGGAACGAAATGCGGTCTGGTAGTTCTTACAAAGGTCGCACGTCTCGCTCGCGCAACAGGTCTGCCTCCCGTACCGATAGCAGACGTTCCAAATCGCGACAATCCCAACCCAGGTTGTGCTGGTACCATAAAC